AATCCGGATATTGGCCTTCTCAAACCCTTGGCTAGACACAGTGGAGCGCACATTCAGTGCTTACACATCATCCACACACCCAGTTTTCTCCTCATAGAAGGCAATTAGGTTAGTCAGGCATGACTTGCCCTTGGTGAATCCATGCTGACTGTTCCTGATCACTTTCCTCTCCTCTAAGTGCTTCAGAATTGATTCCTTGAGGACCTGCTCCATGATTTTTCCAGGGACTGAGGTGAGGCTGACTGGCCTGTAGTTCCCCAGATCCTCCTCCTTCCCTTTTTTAAAGAGTCGTCAGACACTGTGTGGACAAATACCAATAATAAGGTTTATCCTGTGCATGGCATGACTCATCCAAAGCGATGCTCAAATACTCACACTGCTGAAGTTGCGAGTGCAGTTGCGATTTGATGTCACTGTTCAGGTTGGAGATGCTGCATTCTATTGTGTGGTGTGAAAGCTGCAGGCCAGAAATTTTCTTCTCTAGGTTCTCGTTCTCTGGTGACAGGATTGAAATCACATCAATGAGGCAATTTTTTATAAGCCCTCCTTCAGAGTAGGGCTTTTTCACATGGGCTGTGTACCAGGCCACCTAATAGGAGGCTAATGTTACAGTCTGTGATCGGTTGGCACATCTGTTGGGAAAACTGGGCTTCTACATCTGTTTGTTTTTTCAAAATTTTCAGTTTTAAAGTGCAGAGTTCAGAACCTTGGCCTTACCATTACGTTCAACGAAAAAGTACTTATTCTCCCACTCCAGTTGGAAGCCTCGATTTTCATCTCTGTATTTTCTTTCCTGTTTGCGCATTGTTAGATGGTGTAAGAAAAAATTTGATTAAAAATTTCCACACCAGCTAATCACTGTATGCTTTATTCAAGGAGACACTGGTGCCGGCCAGGGGGTGCTGGACTCCTGGCTTTGTCCCAGGCCCTGTCCCCGACTCCACCCCTTTCCCTAAGTTCCCCCGCCTCTTCCTGCCCCCTCCCCTGACTCTAGCTGTGTCCTTGCTCCTCCCCCGCCCCCCGAGGCTCCTGCACATTGCAAAACAGCTGATCGTGGTAGGTGGGAGGCACTGGGGGAGGAAGGAGGGAGGCTGCACACCGTGTCCTTGCTCCTCCTTCCCACCCACCCCCCAGTGCTAGGGGAAGAAGGGGGCTGCATGCCACGTCCTCACTTCTCCACCCTTCCACCCCAGAGTCTCCTGAACATTGCAAAGGAACTGATTGCAGCGGGCAAGAGGCGCAGGGGAGGGAGGAGGAGGCGCTGATCGGGGAGGCCGTCTGTGGGTGGGAGGTGCTGGGGGAGGGAAGGGGGGCTGATAGGGCTGCTGGTGGGTGCTGAGCAACTACCATTTTTTCCCCAGAATCAGCTCCTTGCAGGAGCCACATATTATCTTCTGAAGATATTTTCCAGAGCCACAGGTTGGCCACCCCTGAGCTGTACAATGAACCCATGGAAAAGACCAAGGGGATACACCTATTGAGTCCACCTGCCCTGACCTTGGCATTTTCAGTGAGGAGCGCCCCAGGCACACTGGGTCACACTAAGTACTGAAGTTAAATTAATAGAATGTTTTTTTATGAAATCACCTGAACTCCTTTGTTTTCTTTAATCTGAGCAGGGTTTCCAGTTTCCCAACCTGATGTGATCTCCCAGCTGGAACAAGGAGAAGAGTCATGGGTCCGAGACCTCCAGGGTTCAGAGGAAAGAGAGATCCTGAGAGCTCCCTGCACAGGTGAGGAAACATTAAACCAACTCAGAATCTGTAAGTGCCTGAAGGAAACATCTGGGATGCCCTACAAAGCCCTTGGGAGGTCTCTCAGTTCATTATTGTCCCTAGCAGGGGTCATATCCTCAGGATAACCATAGCTCATGGCTTCCTGTAGGTCCTAGCAGACACCAGGGAGTAGCTTCCTCCCTTCCCCCTGCGTATTTGGATGGGATGTGAAGGCTGAATTGACCCCCTCCTCTCTCCTATTTGGGGGAAGAGTTTGGGGGAGTTCAGTTCCTGGTTTTTATTTGACCTCTCTCCAGCACTTGTTTTGGTTTGCTCTTCCCCTTTCCATCCCTATTTGAGGTTTCTGTCTCTATCACAGCAGGTGATGCAATTCTTTGTGAGAATGAGCAGAATTCTCAGCAGGAAGATGCTGAGCAAGTGGCTAAATATGGAGCATTATCGCAGAGATCGAAAAGGAATGTGTTCAGGAGTCATGAGCAGGGAAAATCCTGTGAGATTCAGCACAGACCAGAGAGAGAACAGGGAAACCAGCCAGGAGAGAAAGTGGGTAAATATATTTATTCTCAGGGAACTCAGGAGAACCTCAAGGAAACCACAATCCAGCAGGAAATCCTCATGGGAAAGAGAAAAAATACATGCACTGAGGGTGGAAAAAACTTAAGTGACTACTCAGCCCTTATTAAACATCAGAGAATCCACACAAGAGAGCGGCCCTATGAATGCAGTGAGTGTGGGAAAAACTTCACTCACAGATCAGGCCTTTTTCAACATCAGAGAATCCACACAGGGGAGAGGCCCTATGAATGCAGTGAGTGTGGGAAAACCTTCATTCGGCGTGCACATCTTATTACGCATCAGAGAATCCACACAGGAGAGAAACCCAATGAATGCAGTGAGTGTGGGGAAACCTTCAGTCAACGCTCCAGCCTTGTTAGTCATCAGAGAGTCCACACAGGGGAGAGGCCCTATGAATGCAGTGAGTGTGGGAAAACCTTCAGTCAACGCTCAAGCCTTGTTAGTCATCAGAGAATCCACACAGGGGAGAGGCCCTATGAATGCAGTGAGTGTGGAAAAACCTTCAATCACAGCTCACACCTTATTACCCATCAGAGAATCCACACTGGAGCGAGGCCCTGTGAATGCAGTGAGTGTGGGAAAACCTTCAATTGCAACTCACACCTTATTACCCATCAGAGAATTCACACAGGAGAGAGGCCGTATGAATGCTGTGAGTGTGGGAAAACCTTCAATCGCAGCTCAAACCTTATTACCCATCAGAGAATCCACACAAGGGACCGGCCCTATGAATGCCGTGAGTGTGGGAAAAGTTTCACTAACAGAGCAGCCCATCTTAATCATCAGAGAATCCACACAGGGGAGAGGCCCTATGAATGCAGTGTGTGTGGGAAAAACTTCACTCATAGATCAGGCCTTTTTCAACATCAGAGAATCCACACAGGGGAGAGGCCCTATGAATGCGGTGAGTGTGGGAAAACCTTCATTCGGCGCTCACATCTTATTACACATCAGAGAATCCACACAGGAGAGAAACCCAATGAATGCAGTGAGTGTGGGGAAACCTTCAGTCAACGCTCCAGCCTTGTTAGTCATCAGAGAGTCCACACAGGGGAGAGGCCCTATGAATGCAGTGAGTGTGGGAAAACCTTCATTCGGTGCTCACATCTTATTACCCATCAGAGAATGCACACAGGTGAGAAACCCTATGAATGCAGGGACTGTCGGAAAACCTTTTTTTGGAGCTCAGCCCATGTTAGGCATCAGAGAATCTGCAAGGGAGATCAACACCATAATAGCCTCTAGGGCTATCAAGACTTCTTTTTTTTCTTTAATACTTTGGCTGATTCCCCCATAGTGACCTTTAAAGCTGTTTGAACTGTTTGCAGCACCGTTATCCCTCAGCTTGTCCAGATGGGTGACCTATTTTTGCCTTTTGCAGTTCACCCTGTTTCGAGGTAGACCCATTTGTCCTTTCTATCAACTCCATTGGCTCATGAGTAATTCGAATGTGCCCTTCCTACAGGGAACCAGGGAGCATCACATTTATACCATTCCTCCTATTGCAGACTTATTGTTAGTCACCAATGATGCAGATTGTATCGTTGCTAGTTGTTCTCATGTTGCTCTGGGTTGTGCTGAAGAGCAGTTATATTGGGAACTTTTAAAATTATATTTAAATGAAGAGAAGCAGGGGCAGGAAAAAAGGTGTCAATTCAGCCTCTGTGACACTGGAAGGAGATGGGGTGACTCAGAGATTCCCTCCTTCCCCATCACTCCAGAACTGTTACCTCCTATCTGATCCATGCAGAGTTTGTCTTCGTCACATTCTATCCATCCACTTCTCAAAGTGTCATGTGATGAAGTGTTATCAGCTGTCTGTGCTTGGAGATGATGCTGTGACTTCTTTAATCCTATATCAGAGTCACTATGACTGGAGATGAAAGGTCAAAGACCCGGAAGGGGAATTAAAATGGATCCCAAACACAGTGTGATCATTTGGAGTTTAAATCCCAGGTTCCATCTATTGGTAAAGCCACTTCTGTCAAGGTTACTGTTTTGTCCCCCATTATGGGGATGCTAGGATACTAAAAAAAAATTAAATAACATAACTGACTATTGAGACAGTGCTGAGTGAAGCAGGTTTGAATGGATCAGAGGAGAATGTGATGGGAGAATCTCTTGTCCTGATTCTGAATAATCATAGACTCATAGACTCATAGACTTTAAGGTCAGAAGGGACCATTATGATCATCTGGTCTGACCCCCTGCATGCTGCAGGCCACAAAACCATCCCTACCCTTTCCTTGACTCTGCTGATGAAGTCCCCAAATCCTGTATCATAGTGACTTCAATTGGCAGAGAACCCTCCTGCTAGAGATCCCTGCCCCATGCTGCGGAGGAAGGCGAAAAACCTCCAGGGCCTCAGCCAATCTACCCTGGAGGAAAATTCCTTCCCGACCCCAAATATGGCGATCAGTAAGACCCCGAGCATGTAGGCAAGAGTCTCCAGCCTGACCCTTGTTAGCCATTATACTGTTTACCTACCATTGCTCGGTATTCCTCAGCTAATATGTTTTACCATTAAACCATTCCCTCCATAAACTTGTCTAGCTTAATCTTAAAACCAGACAGGTCCCTCGCCCCCACCGTTTCCCTCGGAAGGCTGTTCCAATATTTCACCCCTCTGACGGTCAGAAACCTTCAATGTTGTAAACAGTTTATTATGAGAGGCTGAATAAATATTTTAAACTTGCTGTGCTTAGCCTTGCTAGCA